CAGGCGTGGTGGCACATGTCTATAATCCCAGCACTCCGGAGGCTGAGGCAGGAGGATCCCTGTGAGTTCGAGACCAACCTGAACTACATAGTGAGTTCCAGGTCAGTCTCAACTACATAGTGAGACCCTGTCTCAAAAAACCAAAACAAAACAAAATAAAATTGTTTTTAATATTCCATAACAATGCAAATATACTTAACACTACTGAACTATACACTTAAAAGTGGTTATGATGGTAAATTTTATCTTTTACATGAAAGTTTCTTCTGCCTCCTCATCTGCCCCCCCCCATTAACAAAAAGCTGAGAAAAAAAATGTTGCAGAAAGGATGAGCATACTGGCCAGTGTGGAGAAAGAGATGAGTTTAAGTTCTGTTGATAAACTTCCCTACTAGGGTTGTGGAGAGGACACACATAGATGGCCATTAGTCACTAAGGAGTCAGAAGGCCCAAACCTAGTCTTGAATGGTGACACTAGACTAGCTGAGCAGCGGGAGAGCATGTGTTGCAAGGAAGAGAAAGGGTCCTTTGGGCTAGCCAGGGCAGCTTCCCAGTTAGACCTTTGATCTGCGTACGTGGCTCTCTAGAGAGTGACAGTAGTGAGCATGCTTTCCACAGCAAAAAGCCCACTTGTTTTATTAAGCAGCCACACAGAAGAGAAGAGACAGAAGTAAAGGAATTATAAGCCAATTAAAAGATAAAGCATACTTCCCAAGTAACATCTGTTACTTATCTCTTTGCTCTTCCAGGAAGTTTTGTAGTGTCTTGATTATATTCTGGGTATCTGCTTAGTCCCTTAGCCCTTTTAAGATACATAATTGAAGTTCTCTTTTATAGGTAAGGAAAATGATACCTAGAAGTACAAATTAACTTCTTGTAAGTCAGACCTCTACTAGGTAGCAGCAGGAGTTCTCACTGCCCTTAACCATGTCTCTGGAAGAGGCTCTTGTGATAGTTGAGACCCTGGGCATTTACCTCTGTACTTACAAGATTTGCCTTAGAAGGATGGCCATATAAACTTCCTGGCATTGATATAGTGTTTTCAGTTATTTATGTGCATGAACGTCCTTGGAGATGGGTTTTATTTATGTTTTGAACCAAGGGCCTTATCAGAGCTAGATATGCACTCTCCAGCTGAGTTACACCTCCAGCCCTGATAATTTTTAACCTAAAGCAACCTTTCACTGAGTGGGCCAACTGCCTGGCTTTATCTGTCAGCCTCTTTTGTTTTTCTGGATCCTGTGATCTTGAAGGAATTACATCATCTCTTTGTGTCAGAGGTAGGGTGGTTATAAGAATGAAATATAAAGCACCTGGAACAGGACAGTGACTAGAGTAAGTGCTCAGAGACTGCTAGCTCCTATTTATTGCCTCTTTGGAAATATGTGGACATGTCTCCCACCTGAAGGATTTATGAACTTTAGATACCATGTGTAGTTACTACCATTAATTCATTCATTCAGGTAAAGGTAGAGAAATGTGCTGCTCAACAACCATCATTGCAAAGCTGAATATAAAATTGGTGAATTATTTGTTTTGAATTATCTATGTTTTCACATTTTCCAGGAGACCTATAGTAGGTAGCTTAGGGATTAGAAGAAACAAACAGTTGCTGCTTGCCTCGTCTTCATCTGTCTTCCTCACCAGCCTCACTTTTATGTTTAGGGGAAGAACACATCCGCTTTTGAAAACTTCTAAACTAGATAGTTGTCAAGTTCTTCATTAGCTCCTGTCTTATAGCAGAAAAAGTTTTTCAAGAAATCATTCATAATACTTACGCGCAATAGTGAGTGAGACTTGCTGATGAGGCCAAGGTAATGGGTTCAGAACTCACGTAGGTCGTCAAGCACCACTATGCCATCAGTCCTCTCTGGAGTGTGTGACCAAGGGCCTGCTGTGCAAGAGCTGCTACTGGAAGCTGGGCAAGGTGCCACACCCCTGTAATCCCAGCACTCAGGAAGCTGAGGCAGGAGGATCGCTGTGAATTTGAGACCAGCCTGGGGTACAAAGTGAATTCCAGGTCAGTTTCAACTACATAGTGAGACCCTGTTTCAAAACAAACAAAAGAGCTGCTGTTGGTGACTCAGTGGCCATCTCCCAGGAATGACTGCATTTTGTCATATACTGAGGTTATAACTGTATAGATGAGCAAAAAACAGAAAGCTGGGCATGGAGGCACATGCCCATAATCCCAGTGCTTTGGGAGACTGAGGCAGGAGGATTGCCTCAAGTTGTAGGCCAGCCTGGGCTACATAGTGAGTTCAAGGCCAGCCTAAAATACAGTGAGACTGTGTCTCGAAAATAAAATAAAACACAACTGAGAAATAAAGGGTTGATTACCTTGCCTACTCCAAGGAAAGCATATCTGAGAGCTTTTGTATTAGTTGAGTACAATTTAAAACTTTGTGTAAGGTCTTTAAACCTGTTAAGATTTATTACAAGCAGACCATACTGTTGTTAACCCTGGGCTGGCTCACTGTCAGCCTTCTCCCTGGCTTTTGGTGACCTCCCTTTCCCCCTTCCCTCCCCTACTCCCTGAGTGACAGGGAAGTGGAGATGATGTTGGCAGGAGCAGGAGTCTGGGGCCACAGAAATACTTTGCAGACATTGCCCAGGCTTCCTTACAGAACGGTGCACTTTTGTTTCCCACAGAAATAAAAGATGTAAAAAATTCAAACCTAGAAATACTCCTTTCCATCCAGGCTGGCCTCTCACTCACTATGATCCCCTTGCCCCAGCCTCCTGAGTGCTGGGATTACAGGTGTGCAGCACCATTCCCAGCCCCTTTTCTTTCTAGAAGTTTTTGGGGTGCTGGAGATTGAACTGATGGGCTTGAGCCTGCATAATGCTGAGCATGTGCTGTGCCCTGAGCTACTTCCCAGCTCCTCTTAGTAACTTCATGCAACAGGCAGGTCTAAGGAAATAGTTTTAGACTTTTTGTGTATACTTGTGGAACTGTGCATCGAATCCAGGGCGTTCTGCATTCTAGGCACATCAGTGTACCACTGAACTATTATCTCCAGCCATTTTAAATTTTATTTTGAAGCCAGGCTTGGTAGCACGTGCCTGTAATCCCAGCACTCGGGAGGCTGAGGCAGGAGGATCATGTGAGTTCCAGACCAGCCTGGGCTACAGATTGAGCTCCAGGTCAGTCTCAACTACATAGTGAGACCCTGTCTCAAAAAACCAAAAAAATAAAAAAACATTTTTTTGAGATAGGGTCTTTCACTAAGTTACCCAGGCTGGACTCAAATTTAGGGTTTTCCTATCTCAGCCTGACAACTAGCCAGGGTTACAGGCACACCACTGTGCCAGTCTAGTTTTTTGTTAGTATGGATTTTGCCTTAAATTTACTGAAGTATCACTACTTTATTACCAAAATTAGAAACATAATCAAGGCCATAAGAAAAGCCAATTAAATATTTTTTTGTGTGAGATAAAGGGAGTTGAACCCTGGGCTGCATCCCAGCCCTTTTTTATTTCAACACAGGGTCTCACTAAGTTGCTAAATTACCTGTGTTGGGCTTAAACTTGTGATCCTCCTTCCTCATCTCCCCCAACCAATTAAATATATCAACACCTATTTTATTAAGAAGCATATTGGGCCAGGGATTTAGCCCAGTGGTGCTGCCACCTGCCTTGCAAGTAGAAGGTCCTGAGTTCAGTCCCCGGTACCCTCCCCATAAATAAATAAATGAATAAATGAGCCATCTTGGTTTTCGGGGTGAGTAGGTCACATTACAGTTAGTTGTGGGTCTTGTCTGGTGTTGTCTTTCAAAGTTCTTATTCTTTGCAGCATAGGTGTTGTCCTTAGTGACTTTGAAAAGTTGTGTCTCTGGCTAGGGCCAGACAGAAGTGCAGCTGGCATGAGCTGTAAATGGAAGTTTGTAGGAATTTGAGCAGCTTTGTAGAATCAATCTTTACTTGCAAGATTGTTTAAAATAAAACAAATTGGTTTTGCGGGTCCTCTCTTTGCTTTTACCTTCAATTAACTTCCCTGTTTTCTGATTCTTTTGGTTTTGGTGGTTTACCATGATCCTAGGGCCAAGATGCACTTACAGAGGCAGGAACTTGGTTGACTTTGAAGAGCTTCACACCCTGTACCTGCATGTTCTCTAAGATTGCTCTGGGGAGATCATGTGGAGAACAGCACTTTAATAATGTGATCCTTGATTGCTAAAAGAATTACACACCTTTTGGAATTTTTGTAACTGTCCCAAAGCAGGTGTTAAAAATGATTGTTTGGGGCCAGGAATTCAGCTCAGTGGTGTTGACGCCTGCCTGGAAGCACAAGGTTTTGAGTTCAATCTTCGTAACAGGGATCAACCTACGGATCTTGGGCTTGCAAGGCAGGTGCCGGCAACACTGAGCTAAATCTCCTGGCAAAAAAAATTGTTTTGATGACCTAAGATGTACAGAATTTACCCTCATAAACCTTAGTCATTATTCTGCTGTTTGGTGAGACATTTAGAGGAATGTACTGCCCCCCAACCCAGGGCCTTTGCACTAAGCTGTGTCCCAGCCCTTCCCTCCCGCCTTCCTCATTTTTCTTTTCTTTTCTTTTTTTTTCCTTCCTCCGCTTTCTTCTCCTTTCTTTTACAAGGGATTGATCCACCCAGGTCCTCTACTATATTCCAAACCCTTTCTTAAATTTCGAGACAGGCCCTTGCTAAGTTGCCCAGACTGGGCTCCCAACCTGCAGTCCTCCTGCCTCAGCCTCCTGAGCTAATGTTACAGGCATGTGCCATGTTCTCTTGTCATCTTCTTTTAAGCCCTTTAGTACGTCTGTCTTTTAAATTGATGCTGTTTTAAAATTAAAGATGTTAAATTCAGTTTATCTTTATGGAATTGTGAACTTTAAAAATGGGAGAGAGAGAAATCCTTTTGCTTTATCTTCCAGTGTGGTGACAAAAGGACTTTTCTTTGGAAAGAAGCTGCATATTTGGAATTCTGAAAATAGTAGACATGGCCCACTTATTTTTCTTTCCTTGGTTTTTTTAGAGTGAAGACCTAGTCCAGAGAGGGAGGTGTAAAGCTCCAGGTATGGGCTCCCTGCTGGATGGGTGTGCTCCATGGCCAGCTTTTAACCTTCTTGCATGAGGCCTGCTGTGCAGATGAAAAGTTGCTTTCAGAAAGGTGATGGCTTCTTTACTACATTATGGGATCTCATTTGCAAATGTCTGTCCTTGGGAAGCTGGAAGTGTTTCCTTGCTCGCTTTCCCAACTCTTCCTCCTTAGCTATTTCCCAAGGCGAGTTTGTGTCCTCTAGGGACTGTGGCCTGGTTCTGGAAGCAGAGCTGGGTGGGGAGGGCAGAACTACATACAGTAGCTCCCCACCTGCCTTTCTCATCACTTCCACCTCTTGTTGGAACAACAAAGATGAGGATTGGACTTTGTGGGTTCTACACAGATAATGTAACCGTCCTGGAACCAGAATTTGTTCAGTGCATTGATTTTTAAGTACTCATTGAAATGTAAACTGTGTAAACTTAGAGCATATTGATTTAGAATTATACCGACAGCTGGGCATGGTGGCCCATGCCTGTAATCCCGGCACTCAGGAGGCTGAGGCAGGATGGTTGCCATGAGTTTGAAGCCAGACTGGCATAGTGAGTTCAAGGCCAGCCTAAACTGCATAGTGAGACCCTGCCTCCCCCACAAGATACCTAAGTTCTGGACAAGTTTGGGATCTAAATGAATTTGAATGAAGGGTGGTCAAAATTAAGCACATGCATTTGTTAGGGCTGGCCTTGTCCAAAGAAGACTTCTCAGTTTTTACTTTTGCCAAGAAAAATAATCACAGCAGAAAATCTTCTGATAATCCTTATCTTTGGCACTGATTGTGGGAGGAGATAGGAATGATTAAGGTTAGGGGGAGGAAATGGAAAACTTTTATTTTTAAAATATGTTTGGGGTGGTGGTGACACAGGCCTGTAATCCTAGCGCTTCGGAGACTGAGGCAGGAGGATCACTGTGAGTTTGAAGCCAGCCTGAACTACATAGTGAGACCTTGTCTCAAAAAAGAAAAAGAAAGTAAATTCTGTTTTTCCTTCCTGCAGCCTTATATTCTCTTCTTGGTATGCCACAGTATAGTTTTAAGTGCAGAACAACTGGTATACAACTAAACCTGCTGCTTCTTTTCTTAAAGTGGTTTTAAAATTTGAAATAGGTTTTTACAATATTTTACAATATTTTAACCCTCTATTTCATGTCCTGACCACATTCAGAAATTTTTACATTGTTTTCCACTTGCTGTAAATTTCTTAAGATCCAAGAGTTAAAGTTGTTTTTGTTTGTTTGTTTGTTTGTTTGTTTGTTTTTGAGACAGGGTCTCACTATATAGTTGAGACTGACCTGGAACTCACTATGTAGCCCAGGCTGGTCTCGAACTCACAGGGATCCTCCTGCCTCAGTCTCCCGAGTGCTGGGATTACAGGCGTGCACCACCACGCCCGGCTAGTTTAAATTATTTTTAACTGTCATGTTTTTGTAATAACAGCAACACAAAAAAGCCTCACAAAGTAGGATGCTATGGAGGTAATTGCCAGTTTGAGCCAGCATACGATTACTTTGTTATTGTCATTATCATTGCCATTATTTTTTTCTGAGACAGGATTTTGCCGTGTTGCCCAGGCTGGCCTTGAACTTGAAGATCTTCTGTCAGTCTCCTGACTCAGTTTTTAAAATAAAGCTCAATCTCTGAAGATTTTAAGCTAAAATTGATTTCTCTGGTTGGTTAGTTTTAAGGGGGTATAAGTTACTTCTTTTCTATATCCCATATATTATTTCACCTCCAGCAGTTGCACTCTCCTTAGGAAGGTTATGACTATCCTAAAATCATGTTCTTAGGTTGTGACTGTTCTTTAAGATGTTTGTTTCCTTATATAAACTGATGGTGAGTTTTCATAACATAGGCATATATTTTAATCTATTTTACTTTTCTTTTTTTTGGTACTGAGGATCAAACTTGGGTCCTTGCACTTGCAAGGCAGACGGTGGACAGACATGTTTTTATATTCAGTGTAGTCTCTGATCTCTTCTGTGTTCTAGAAGCAGACCTCATGTTTTTGCGCTTTCAGACGCACTCAGTTTGTGGAATAGACATGAAATATGGCTCACTGTCACACCAGTCAGGACAGAGGTCTGCAGGTGCCACCCAGGTCCTTTTGCTTAGCGCTGCTTCACCTTTAGGCTGAAAGATGCTGTATATTTCTAGCATTTCTCTCTTCTAACTCACTTTTACATTATCCTCAAGTTTATCCATTCCTATATCAAAATGCTAGGTGCACTGTTTGCATGAGTGTGCTTCCCTTAACTATATTGAGCAGTTTTAATTATTTGGGTTCTTTCTTTTCTCATTGAGTTTATTGGTACTTTGTAAGTATACAGTACAGTTACATTCATCATTGGGATCTTGTACCTTTACATGACAGGTCTTGGTTGTCATTTTTCCCATACTTCTGCCCTCCCTTTACTCCCTCCATTCCTCCCCTATTTACAAAGACTGTTTCCATTTTTTCCTATTCTCATTTTTTTCTTCTCCCTTATTTCCTTTCCCCTACCCTTCCCATTTACCCTACACCTTTAGCCCTTTACTTCCTATTTTATATTATGAGTTATACAATTTGTATTCTTTTTAGACTTGGAGTTGGCACTGTGATTGAGATGACGACTCACTGAGTTACCCAGTCTAGGCTCAAACTTGTGATTCTCTTACCTCAGCCTCCCAGAGTTCTGGGATTATAGGACTGTGCCACTGCATGCAATATTTTTTGGGTTCTTGATGCTCTGTCAGGCTGTCTTTGCCTCCCCTCTCATCAGGCTTTGAACTATTACCCATAAAAGAAGAGGCAGACAAAACTGAGGCGGACAACCAGAGAAAGTACAGCAAACCGCAGAAGCAAATTCATAGTGAAAGAACAGGAAGTAAAAAAGACGGAGGAAAATTTAAGGCCACCTTTTGCAGCATATCATAACCACTCCTGCCATCTCTTTCTTTTTTTTTTTTCTTTTTTTTTTTTTTGGTACTGGGGATTGAACTCTGGTCCTTGTGCTTGTTAGGCAGGCGGTGGAACCACTGAGCTAAATCCCTGGCCCGCATCTCTTTATTTCTAATGTGTCCTGTAATGTATGACTAATTAAGACATTTTTTAAAAAATTATGTGTGAATAACTGACTTTTAATTTTACTTTTTAATATCCCTTAATATCTGCATTTTTGTATTCCCGTAATTGTTTTTATTGTAACTTTATAACCCTTTTCTAAAATTGAGTGACTTGATTAGTTTCTGTGTTTTCCCTCAAGCATGTTGAATTTAATTATAGAGAGATTAACTCTACAGAACTGTCAGAGAGATGCACTCTTCATAGTGTCATAACATTTCCATCTTGCAGGTTTTTAAAGCATTGTTACTTTGTAAATAGCAAAATGGACTTACAGTAGCAGTGTAAACACGGAATTTGGAAGACTTTACTCCCTGCTTTCTTTTTAAATCTGTATTATAAATTGGGCTTTTGGAGAGTTTGTTTGTTTGTTTGTTTGTTTGTTTTTTGGTACCAGGGATTGAACGTGGGTCCTTGTGCTTGTGAGGCAGGTGGCAGAACCACTGAGCTAAATCCCTGGCCCTGGAGAATTCTTTTAAATAATAATTCTGTGATTGGGAAAAATGGTTTTAAAACTTTGAATCAGTGTTTCTCAGACTGCAGCTTGGTGAAAATTAAGGCATACACATCCTCCATACCCTGGGTAGTGCCCCATGACTCAGTTTCTCATGCTGAGTACTCTTCTGTTACAGATACTATTCTGGTTGGAACAGAAAGGTGATTAGAATTCATGTATTGTTAGTGAGTAATAGCAATAACCAATGGAATCACTTGAGGTTTGGTGATTCCTTTTTAAAAGGAGTTCTTAAACTAGACATTCTAACTTGGTTATTGACTCATAGTTACTCCACGGTTTAAGTTGGTTTTTTTTTGTTTGTTTTTGGTACCCGGGATTGAACTCAGGACCTTGTGCTTGGTGTGCCATTGAGCTAAATCCCCAGCCCTGAGTCCAGGTTGTTTTTGATAACTGTCCTGTCAGCAGCTCCAGTACACATAGAGAAACCAGGACAAATCTCCCAGTGACCTACTTGTCCCAGGGAGGGTCACACGCCTGCCTGGCATCAGGGTGGGGTGATTGTACTGTGTAGGGGTCACAGTCTCTCACTTGCACCTTGTTTCTGCTTCCTTTAATAGGATGGGAGAGAGCTTCTGCCACTGTACCTCCAGTGTAGATGAGCTGAGTCCAAATAAACCACTTAGCTGCTGTTCTAGTTCTAGACTGTGGATGGTTATGTCTGGATGTTGGAGAGAAGACCAAGCTTCTGCCCTCCTGGGTCAGGTGCAGACAGGTGCCAGCAGTTGTTACCCAGCCTGGAACTGCTAGGCCTGTGCCACACATGTTGCCTCTCATAAGGAATGCAGCCTGGTGGTAGAGATCTTGCCTAGCACATGAGGGCCCGGTTCTATCGCCAGCACTGAAAAAAACAAACCAAACAGACACAAAAAGTAACTGCATGTTCAAGAGTTCTTCATTCATTTACTTCTTTACAGGCTGAACATAGCTGCTGCTTCTTTTTTTACTTTTTTCCAATGTCCTCTTTGTTGTAAGCTGAGCTTGGGTGAGGAGAAATCTTTACAGTTAGACAAGCCTAATGGTGAAAATGGAAAGAAAACCTGTGAAATTTGGGAGCCTGCAGACATGAAGTTTTAGAGTCACTGCCTAAATATTGAAATGCCACCATTTGTCATTTGGAGGGATGTGGAGCTAAATTGAGAACGGATCTGCCTTGACTGCTAAGTATACCCATCTCTGCTGCTCACCCGGAATAGAATGTTTATGTGTATGCTTGGTAGTCTTGGCTTGGGCAGCATCCTTGCCAACCCCCTTTCTGGGGATCACACCCAGGGTTTTGCCCCTGAGTTCCAGCCCTGGCCTTATTATCCTTTAGAGAAGGAAAGAGAAAGTCAAGAGGCTCGCGCTCTCTCTCTCTCTCTCTCTCTCTCTCTCTCTCTCTCCCCCTCTCCCTCTCCTCTCTCTCTTCTCCTACATGTTTTAGTATTGGTCCTTAATAGGCTTACTTCATTTTGTTTATCATCACTGTGCTGGCTTTTGATTTTTGTTTTTTTAGAAAGGTCAGGAGAGAACTGAAAAAATGTTATTTTCTATTATACTATCAAGAAAGAGGCAGAATACTATTATTCCCTTTTTGTTTTCTGGCAAGTTAATATTCAGAGTCAATACAGAAATTTTGTGTCTGCCACCTAATGAAAAAAATTTTTTTTTCTGGTACCAGGGATTGAACTCAGGACCTTGCGCTTGCGAGGCACTAATGAATATTATTGAACCAAAATCTTTTTTTAATCATACTGGAGATTGAACCCAGCACCTTATGGGTTTTAGACAAGTGCTCTGTCACTGAGCTTCATTCCCAGGTTTTTCTAAATTTCATTTTGAGAGCAGCTACCCAGGCTAGCCTTGAATTCTCCACAGTCCCACCTCATATCTCTTAGTTGGAATTACAAACATGTGCCATCACACCCAGTTGAACAAAGGATTCTTAATGTGCTTTCTGACCAGGACCCATCAGACAGTATACTTTACCCTCAGAACCTTCAGGAAAACAGGTTCCTCTCCTGAGGAGGTAGTTATGTATAAGCAGCATTTCTCTTGGCCTTTTTTCAAACACTTTGCCCCTGGCCTGCTCATTTGACTGTTTCGAGGTTAATTTGGATCCAAGTACAGTGCTCAGTGCTGCCTTTGGCGCTCAAAAACTAAATTTAAAACTGTGGCCAGTAATCCAGGAAAAAATTAAAAACATTTTCAGACCACACAAAGTGACTTTCCCCTCCCCATCCCCCTTTCAGGTAGTTTTAGGGTTTGGGGGACTTGGAAAACTGATTTGCAGGAAGGAGTTTGGAGATGTGAAACAAGTTTGTGTTTCTTCTGCTCTGTTGGCCACTGCTATCTTCATGGATCTGACACTATTTTTCTGACAGTGCACTTAGTACTGCTTCGCCAGGGAAAATATCACACAAAACAAGCCTGGCGCATCAGCACTTTCATTGTGTGCCGACTGAGCTTCCCTTCACATGGCCATAACCCACTTTAATCCAGTCCTCCCCTTCCCTGCCCCTTCCCCAGACCTGCCTCTTTCTGCAGCGCTTACTGCTGGTTTCCCTGAGCTCCTCTTTCCACTTTGTGTTTTTTGTGGAGCCCAGGAAGCTAAAGCTGAGTATATTTGTGGATGAGACAAGTGCAGCAAGTTAATGTCATTGGCTTCTGAAGGGAACAGTGAGGTGATGGCCGCATTTAAGTTGGATTTCCTTCCAGAAATGATGGTGGAGCATTGCTCTTTGAATTCCAGTCCCGTGTAAGTATTTTTGTTGTCTAATTTTTTTTAAATCGTAAGCACAGGAACTGGTCTGTGTTTTTGTTTTTACTTGATGAAACTTGTTCCTTTCCTTAAAAGAGGGAATAAAAGAATTAAATGGGGGGGGGGATTGGGTAAGAAAGCCAAAGTCTGAATTCTCTCATGCTGTTATTTTCTGTTTTAGTCTGATTCTGTTTTAACTGCTCATTTCTTCTGGGCTCTCAGTAAGTTCTTTGCACAAAGCTGCACCTGATATGTGACCACCCACAGCTGCTCAAGGTGCTGCTCAAGCCCTTCTAGGGGGAGTGTTTGCCTGTATTGCTTTGGGTTGGGTGTGTAATTTTAAATAAACTTTTGAGACTAAAGTATTTTATTATTTTTTTTTAAGTATCAAATTCTTAAACTATCACACAGAAGATTTATAGTTATGGTGTTTTTAATACTTACACAACATTCTTTATTGACATGTAAAGTATAATTCTGTACTTTGAACCCCCCCAATCTAATTGAAAATGCAATTTAGCACAGAATTTCAGAAATGTCAGACGTACCCCATCCTCCAAGAAAAGAAAACTGGATCAATCTTGATCAGCAGTTTCCTCATAAATTGTGGGTATGGGAAGGAGAAACCCTGTTAGCTTGTAACATTGTGGAAAAACTGCATTGTACACAGCTATATGCCAAATGTGGACCCAAGCTACAGTTAATGGAGCCTGGATTCTGGACTTGGGCGGGCATTTCTAACCCCTCCTGTCAAAATCTGAGTTCTGGCTTTTTTAAGTCACTTTAACCAAACTTCTTTGTGCCTTTCACTTTAACCAAGCTTTAAAAAACTCTCTGCCTCTCAAGCAGACAAATCTTAGGTTGTTATTCAAAGCCAAGAATATTGTTTTAAGTGGTAGAACTTGTCTTAGATAACAGGGGTTGCAGTATAAATCTTTGAGGTTAGGCCTCCATGTGCAAATCTAACTGCCCTGGGGTTGGATGTAACAGGTGTGGGTGGTGGGGTGAAATTACAGTAAGTATAATCATAAAAACTTAGTATGTAAGCTAGATGTAGGGGTACACACCTATAACTCCAACCCTGTGGGAGGCTGAGGCAGGAGGACTGCAGATTCAAGCCCAGCCTGGGCAATTTACAGACTTAAGGGGGCTGGGGATTTAGTTCAGTGATTCTGCCGCTTGTTTTGCAAGCCCAAAGTCCTGAGTTTGATCCCCAGTACAAAAAAAAATGAGTCCTGCCGGGACAACTTAGTAATTTACAGACTTAAGGAGATCCTGTCTCAAAATAATATGTAGCTCAGTGTGAAGACTCTGGGTTCAGTCCTGGCTACTACCAAAAAAAGAAAATATATCATAATAAAGGATGAATTAAGGTGGTGTAGTTCAGATTATCTTTGCATTATAACATTTTTTTCTCCCTGTCCTTTGCTACTACCTAGTGTTCAACCCCTTAGACACAGTGCTTTTCATAGCCTGTTTTATCAGCTTTTTAGTTTTTTGAGACAGTCTCACTGTGTATCCCAGTGGCCTTTAACTCTAGTCTTGCCTCAGCCCCCCCCCCCCCCCCCG